ACAAACAGCAAACAACAACCAACAACATCACCCCACACACACACACGCACACCTCTCTACCCCCCTCCCTCTCCCTCCCTCCACCATCAGGGGCCGAGCGAACACGGATGTAAACACGGCCTGGCGCGGACACCGGCGGGCGCGGGACCCACCCCGGTGGCCGCAGGGCGTGCGGACGGCGCGGGACACCCCTCGCCGCCCCGTCCCCCCCCTCTCGTCCTCGCCCCCCTGTGCCCCGTTACCTTGGCGCGGCCGCGGGCGCGGCGCGGAGCCCGCACGGCCTCGGCCATGGCCCCGCTGCGCCCGCGCTCCGCCCGCACCGCACCGGGCCCGGGACACGCCCCCGTGGGCACCGGCCAATGGGAGAGCGGGACGGGAGAGGGGGCGGGGCCCCGGGGGTGGGCGGGGAGGCCTTGAGGGGAGAGGGGCCACATAGAGTGTCCGTGGGACGCGCGGTCTGTCAGAGGGATTCAAGGACTGCTATAGGGATCCACGGACTGCCGTAGGGACCCACGGAGCGCTGTAGGGATCCACAGACTGCCATAGGGGTCCACGGACTGCCATAGGGATCCACAGACTACCACAGAGACCCACGGAGCGCTGTAGGGAGCCACGGACTGCCATAGAGACCCGTGGGCTGCCATAGGGATCTACAGAGCATCCATAGGGAGCCACACAGCGCTGTAGGGACCCACAGACTGCCATAGGGACCCACGGAGCGCTGTAGGGACCCACACACCGCCCATGGGGAAAGACAGCCCATAGAGGCCCACAGACCACCCGTGGGACCCTCTGAGCACTCTAGGGAACCAGAGACTGTCCATAGGGAACCACCATCCATAGAGACCCACAGACCATCCATGGGACCCTCAGAGCGCTCTAGGGAACCAGAGACTGTCCATAGGGAACCACCATCCATAGAGACCCACAGACCATCCATGGGACCCTCAGAGCACTCTAGGGAACCAGAGACTGTCCATAGGGAACCACCATCCATAGAGACCCACAGACCATCCATGGGACCCTCAGAGCACTCTAGGGAACCAGAGACTGTCCATAGGGAACCACCATCCATAGAGACCCACAGACCATCCATGGGACCCTCAGAGCACTCTAGGGAACCAGAGACTGTCCATAGGGAACCACCATCCATAGAGACCCACAGACCATCCATGGGACCCTCAGAGCGCTCTAGGGACCCACAGAATGTCCCTAGGGGCCTACAGACCATTCATGGGACCGACTCACAGACTGCCCGTAGGGGAGAAGGGTCCACTAAAGGAAGCCACAGAACCTCCACAGCGGAGCTGGGGTCTGCTGTAAGGAGCCACAGGTCCTACATAGGGGGAGAAGTCAGGGTCCACAATAGGGACACACAGACTGTCCATTTGGACCCACACACCACATAGGGCCAAGGTCCCCTGTACAGACCAACAGACCCTCCATAGGGGCTGGGAGGAGCCCAGGAACCAGACACACAGACCCTCCATAGGGGCTGGGAGGAGCCCAGGATCCATTGTATGCACATACAGACCCTCCATAGGGGCTGGGAGGAGCCCAGGATCCATTGTATGGACACACAGACCCTCCATAGGGGCTGGGAGGAGCCCAGGCTGCTGCCCAAAGGAATGTGAAATGAGAAGCCAAGCCCCCACTAGCGAGGATGGCAGGTGTGAGATCTACCTGTCTCAGCTCCTGAGGCACCTCCAGCACAGTGGAAATGCTGGCTCAGCGCCAGGCCAGGAACTGCTGCCTCTCAGATCCCAGTCCTGGCACCCAGCCATCCCCAGGGAGCCAGGGAGCCATGGCTGGAGCAGAGCCCAGGCTCCACAGGGAGGAGGAGTGACTTCTCCCAGTGCCCAGATGGATGAGCCCTCACAAGGTTCACTCGACATCACAGTTGACTTAATGGCCTTGAACAGGCAGTGTTCGCTCTGTGGGATCCTGCACTTGGGGCTTGAGAAGCCCCTGCATTACTAGTGTAACCTGGAATTTGTAATATCCGTGGGTATAGGGGGGGATGCATTGATCCTGATCATCTTCTTGGCCTTGTCTGTAGCTGGAAATGCAGCAAGAAGTCCTCATGTGAACTTCCTTTATAAACAGAGCTGTTTCCTTGTGATAATTTCTGAATTAGCTCACAGGATCAGAAAAGGAGAGGGATCTGTCGACTCTGCCTCCAGGCAGAGTGCCCAGCACCTGAAGGATGTCAGATTTGTTTGCAATCCATGTTAATCAAAGAGTCACAGGATGGTTTGTGTTGGAAGGGACTTAAAAGCTCATCCAGTTCCAATCATCCTGCCATGGGCAGGGACACCTTCCACTTCCAAGCCCCATCCGGCCTGGTCTTGAGCACTTCCAGGGATGGGGCAGCCACAGCTTCTCTGGGCAACCTGTGCCAGGGTCTCACCATCCTCACAGGGAGGAATTCCTTCCCAACTAGCCCTGCCCTCTAGCAGTGGGAAGCTGTTCCACCTTGTCCTATTCACTTATTCTGTCTTATAAAAGCTGTTGCCTTACTAAGGAGTTTGTTGTCTCTCGTACCCTGAGGAGAGAAGGCAGGAGCTGCACAACTGGTTACCAGGGTCTATAGGGAGGCCAGGCACTCCTGCAGGGTCTGGAAGACACCAGACCCCCCTGTGAGTCATCTCACCCTCAATAAAGGGCTCCGGGGCAGGCTGGGCTCCTCCACAGGGGCCTGGGAGGAGGCCAAAGTCTTCTGCACCACTTGGAAAGCCATGAGGCAAGGGAAGGGGATGAAGGGGTGTGCTGGTTTAGAGTTAACCAGCAGGGGAAATGAACTCAACTCCAAGGAGAGATTATAAGTCAGAATAACAATTTACTAAAATAATACAGTAAGTACAATCATACAAACAAACAATTGGTCTTAACCCACAAAACCCAAATGTATAACCCAGTACCCTGGGGCATGAACAAAGTGGTGTTCCTTGGGCCCCGCTTGAGTCCAAAGTAAAGGGAGAGGGGAAGAACCTGCTGGTGGGAGAGCGGTTGCAGTCTGGTCAAAAGTGGTGATTGCAGTCCAGTGATGGTTTAAGTCTGGTTGAGAGCGATGAGCTGCAGCCTTCCTCTGGATCCCACCAGGGGTTGCAAAATGTTCTAAGACTCCAAGATTATATATCCTCCAGTTCAGGCAGAAATGCTCAGTGCTTCCCTCAGGGCAGGGAGTTCCACAAAGGGTGTGAGGACAAGAGCATCCTCCTATCTCACAGGCCTCTTAACACCTAGTTTGTAGCCTGAGGAGTCAGGCTCTGTGGGCAGAGGGTGCGAATAGTCTATTCACAACAGTTTCTGGGAAATGGCATGGAAGGCTAGAGAATACACAGTTTTGGGTTACACCCATGCCATGATGAAGTGGTCTCAGTTGTCCTAACTAGGACAAGGGAAGATTATGAAGAAAAAAAGCCATTTTGGCACCCACGAACACATAGACTTGTTTCCCAGTAGCTCCATGTCTGGACACTCCTCTTCAAAGCTCAGTTTTCTTGGCCTAGGTCTGTGCGAACACTTGGTGTTTTCATAGAATCCTAGTCAATGAGGTTGTAAAGACCACCAAGATCATCAAGTCCAACCATTCCCCCAGCACTGCCTAGGCCACCACTAACCCAAGTGGCACATCCACACAGCTTTTAAATTCATCCGGGGATGGGGACTCCACCACTGCCGTGGACAGCTGTGCCACAGCTTGACAACTCTTTCAGGGAAGAAATTTCCCCTAATATCTAACCTAAACCTCCCCTGGCACAACTTGAGGACATTTCCACTCACCCTATCATCTGTTCTCTGAGAGCAGAGCCTGACACCACCCCCCTGGCCCCTCCCTCCTGTCAGGGAGTTGCAGAGCCAGAAGGTCCCCCCTGAGCCTCCTTTTCTCCAGGATGAGCCCCCCCAGCTCCCTCAGACGCTCCTGCTGCTCCAGACCCTTCCCCAGCACCCCTGTTTTGGTATCACTTCTGTGCATTTAATGAATGTGCAAGCCACTGGGGACCTCCGAATCCAGAAAAGCCTAACAGCAACTATTGTGCTCAGTCAGCAGAAAAGCCCCAATAAAGAAACCGTGCCATGTATTGCAGAGCAGACACTCTTCCAGGGCAAACAGCCCTACGTGGTCAGCTGTGCCTGTCTAATAGCAAGTACTTGTCCTTGTGCCAGTCTTATTGGGGGTGTTTTCTGCCACCTCTGTGTTGGTAATGAGCAAGGACTGAAATAAAGGCTGAGCGAGGATGTGCTCTGAAGGTGTCCCACCCCAGCCCCAACAGAAAGTGAACAAGACAACCTTTAAAAAAAACCCCACATACCCAACACGTGAGACTCAAAATTTATTTTTTAAAATATGTATTTAAACAACTAAGACTACAGCAGGCTCCTTCGGAATAATACTTGTGTCCTTGGTCTTTCAGAAATAAAACAGGATAGCGGATTCCTTGGCACGTGCACTTTGCAGGAGGGCAGATGTCAGAGCTCACTGTCATCTTCCCCACACAAGAAAACACAGTAAAAAGCCCCAAGGACTGATGGGCTGGGACACGTGCTGAAGCCGTGCAGATTCAGCTGGAAAAATGTCATACAAATAGCAAATCCTGCTGCTCCAGGTTAGTCACCTGGCACCGGGTTTAGACAGGTCAATTGTGTGTTTATCCCCATGTCCTGTGTCCCTGTGTCCAGTGTCGTAAGGCACTGAGGAGCAGTCAAGCAGCACTGCACACTGGGACGTCAGAGAGATCAGCAGCCCCGAAGCACATGAGCTTCTGAATCAAAGTCATAATCATAAGATACATATATATATATAGTAACAGAAAGGGCAGGAAGTTTGAGGAGATCTGGTCAGAAAACAAGTTTCATGGCTCCAGCAGTAGCTAAGTTTGTTTCCAGTGGTGCATAGTCAGAACAAGTCCAAAGTTTAGAGATTGTCAAAAGCTAATTAAATCATAGAATCATAGAACTGTAGAATGGTTTGGGTTGGGAAGGACCTTAAAGACCATCTAGTTCCAACCCCTTGCTGTGGGCAGGGACATTTTGCTCTAGACCTGGTTGCTCCAAACCCCGTCCAACCTGGTCCCTAGAGCCTTTCCAGGGACAAGCTGTACCATGAACCTAAAAACTCACAAGCCCCTCACTGGAGAGGCATTTGGGAGATCTGAACAATGTCCTCCTGATCCTCAACAACACCATGGGATGTGGAACCTCCCAGCAGGTTTGTGGTGGCACAGCCCCTCACTGGGTAGCCATGCTGTGAACTGCTGCACCAGGCAAGATGCAAATCAGCTTCCAGCATCGGCACTTAAGCCTGGAGCACACCTACAGCTAAGCCAGACACACGGTGTAACTGTTGGTGCTCCCCTAAGTGAGATCCCCGAAAGATGAGAGTAAAATTAAACCTAAATTACAAGTTCAATCCCCAGTAATGAAAGACTTTAGAGACAGGCGAAAGAGTAACCTGAGATCTGAGGGGGATGCAGGTGCCCTGAACACAAGCCAGAGCGCCCAAAGCATCATGCAGCACTCCCCTCGGCACATATGAGCTAGTTATCTGGAGAGTGGGAGGCTCCAGCCTCTCCCAACGGCTGCACTTTAGAGGAACTTCAAATCAAACACTTCTTCCGACACAAATCGCCCCTGTGTCTGGTCCTTTTCTTCCTCTGAGTTTGAAGATAGGATAGCCATCCAAGGAGTTTGCTGATGAAAGGCACAGATTTTTTAGTAGGCACTTTCTGGATGCACAAATAATTATCAGTCCTCAAATATGTTTTTGAAAAGCAGAAGCACTTCAGACACTTTAGTGTCTGGGAATAACGGGAAACACCACCTGTGCCACGCTGGTCAGACCAACAGTGTCTTCTGCCTGGAAAACCTACAGGACAGGATCAACAGTGTCTAAACCACAGCTCCAGCTCAGAGAGGTGATGGCAGGGCAGGAGCATCACTTCCAGTTGGAAGTGATCCCCCTCAAATATCACCCTTTAACCAGTGGCCTTTCTTTCTCCAGAGTCCCTCTTCCAGGTAGCTCCAGATTCGCAAAATGGTTTCGGTTGGAATGGACCTTAAAGCCCATCTCACTCCACCCCCTGCCATGGGCAGGGGCACCTTCCACTAGCTCAGGTTGCTCCAAGCCTCATCCAACCTGGCCTTGAACACTTCCAGGGATGGGGCAGCCACAGCTTCTCTGGGCAATTTGTGCCAGGGCCTCACCACCCTCACAGGGAAGAAGCTCTTCCTTATAGCTAACCTAAATCTAACCTCATTTAGTTTAAAATTCCCCTTTGTTGTGTTACTATCTGCCCAGGTTAAAAATCCCTCTCCCTCTTTCCCATAAGCCCCCTTTCTTCATCAAAAGTGAGTACTTACTGTGACTGCTAGAAATGTACCAAGCTGTAGCCATCAACTGTGGCGTAATCAGGCTCCCCTGAAACAGAGAGCACAAAAAAAAAATAGGTTTCCTCATGAGAAGTGCTCATTATAAGGCTTCCCACACTGGCCATCCATGTTAAAGGGATGGGGTGCAAGGGTGAATGAGTCTCAAAGAGGTGTCCTATAGACAGGCTGGGAGAGCTGGGGATGTTCAGCCTGGAGAAGAGAAGGCTCCAGGGAGACCTGAGAACCCCTTCTAGGGCCTAAAGGGGCTTTAGGAGAGCTGGAGAGGGACCTGGGACGAGGGCCTGGAGTGATAGTTCCTCTGTGGGGCCAGAAAGCCCATAAAGCAATAACTCACCTGGTGCACTGGTCGGGGTGGGCAGAGGTCCCCTCCTGCACAGAAGGAAACACAGAGGTGAGGATCTGCATGGATACAGGACTCCCTTTGCCCTGGTTCTGCACTCCCCAGCTGCCCTCCCAGAGCTGGTGGGAAGGCAAGAGGTTTGACAACCTGGGCTTTATAGAGACCTGGTGGGCTCACCACCCACAGCCTGCTTGGCAAACACAGGAATTGAAGCTGATATGGTGCAGGAGAGGAAAAAGCAGCCAAAAAGCACTAAGCTGGGGAAAAAAATCACAATCACAGGTGAGCCTCAGGGTATGCCTTTGTACATGCCTTTGCCCAGAGTGACACATCAGGAAGCCATAACTGGACAGGGCTCAACTCCCAGTGTGGCAGCCAAAGTGGCACACTCATCCTTAGCATGAGTCTTTGGCCCTCATTGTCACCTTGGCCCCTGGCAGAAACACCCTTCAGCCTGTCCTCCCAGCCCAGCTTCTGTCCCAGGGGAGTGAATTCAGCTCTGCAGTTCCTCCCTCTACCCACACATGCCTTTAACACTCCTCAGATGGACAGATCACAACAAGAACCATGCGAGGAAATATTTTCCTCTAATACTCCCAAGTCAAGCTTCCAATAGACTAAAAGGAATAAAATATGCCCTTTTGCGGGGGGGGAGAGCATCACTTGCAATAGCAATTGCAATTGTACATGTTATATCCCTTACCTTGATATAGGTACAGGCGCTGGACTTCTCGCAGGAGTCACATTTCTCTGTGTATTGTAGTAGTTTTCATAAACAACAGGAGCTAGGAAAAGTTAACAGTAGTAAAGTACAGGCCTTTCATAGACATAAAATACTTCTTATACCAGCAGTCAGATCCTAAGTCTTTCCCCTCTCTGTGAAAATGCCTGACCAGGAAACTAAGTCCTAAGATAGCACTAAGAGTGCTATCTTCAAGGACTTTTGAAACTGGCAGAGACTAGTGCTGCGTAGCAGTGAACTAAAGGAGGAATGTTGCAAAATCAATGTTTTTTGCACCCCAACTGATGCTGACCTGAGCAGCAGCTCCATGAGGAGTACAGGGCAGTCAGCACTACTTTGTGAGATTGTACTGAGCTCTTACCTGGAGCCAAACTTCCAGTTTTGCGCAAATTTACAAAAAAATCAACATCCTTCTCAATGCTGCACATTTCTAAACTCTTGCGGATTTCCTCATATTTCTGCAAAAGGGAAATAAAATGCATTTCTATTACATCAGGTCAAAAAACAAGAGGGGTTTTTCCAACTGTCTATTAGACATGGGGAGAAATCCCAATATTCACCCAGTGCACAAGCTGCAGTGACAGGGGAATCACAGAATCTTAGAGTGGTTCGGGCTCAAAGGGACCTTAAAGCCCATCTTGTTCCACCCCCTGCCATGGGCAGGGACACCTTCCACTAGAGCAGGTTGCTCCAAGCCCCATCCAACCTGGCCTCGAACACTTCCAGGGATGGGGCAGCCACAGCTTCTCTGGGAAACCTGTTCCAGTGTTTCAGCACACTCAAAAAATGTGTGAATGCTAGAGGAAAGCTCATCTGCCAGAGTTTTGGCCAAACCTTCTGCCTGCCCACTCATGCTGGTGTCTGGTGGCCAATGAAGAGCCACAGTCCAACTCACACGTAACACAGCTCAGAGCACAGGAAAACAAACTGGGCTCTGCTTTCCACACAGAAGAACAAAGACTTTTAGTTGAGGTACCTCATCATTCTGGACGCAGCCCAGGGAGAGCTGGTTGACGTGGAGCCAGAGGGCGTTACGGACATAGCTGATCCGATCACACTCCTGAGTCTCAAAGAACTGAAACAACACAGACAAAAACGGCCACATCATCTTTGAAATGAGAGCAAATCTCCTTAATCCTTACTGCTTCTCGTTCCCAAGTGCCATGAAAAGACAACTGCAAGGAGCAGATGGTGTTGGTGCTCTGCAGGAAACAAGGAAACAGCACGTCCTCCAGATTGCCCAGAAGAGAAATGATCCCTTTGTGCAACCAGATGAGTGTTAAGATGAGTGTTTGTTAAGCTCAGAAAGTCTGCAGAACTGATGTGAAGGGGGTCCCCCAGCACCTCTGGGGAGAACAAGCCAGATTCCTAAAGGCAGTACATGTTCCCTAGGCACCCCATGCTCCTGTGGTCCCAGCTCACTTCCCTTCCACAGGTGTCCTAGAATCACAGAATCATTTAGGTTGGAAAAGCCCCCTAAGATCATCAAGTCCAACCATTCCCCCAGCACTGCCAAGGACACCATTAACCCACGGCCCCAAGTGCCACATCTACATGTCCTTTTAACACTTCCAGGCTGCAGATATAGAGAAATAAATACACAGTGAGGATGCATGAAACCAGAGGTGCATTGACTGGTTGGTCTTCTCCCTCTTTCCTGCCCAGCCCTTTTCCAAGCAGGTTTCAACCCAAGCCTTTGAAATCTGGCATACCAGAAATCTGAATCTGGTATACCTTTTGAAATGTCCCCATCATAGAGGCTTCCAGAGACCCCAGACACCAAAAGCACACCATCACTGAGGCACTCACGCACACCACACAACAGAGACAGCAAATTCCAGTTCAAAACAGAAAAGTAAAATCGCAGCCTGATGAGAAATAAATTGGGAAGGAATCAGCACAGCTGGGAATGGGAAAGCTGTTTGCAAACCTGGGATAGAACCTCAATCTCTGCAGTCCCTGTCCATGGAAAGTCTTTTAGAGTTTCAGACAGAGTCTTCCAGGTGTTGCTGAGGCTCTAGGACATACTGGCCTTAAGTCACTGAGTATCCAGAGGCAACCACAGCTGTTCAAAGTGACAGCCATGCCAAACATGCAAGTAGGTAATGGGCAAAACGTCATGACCTTGACTCTGTCAATTTTAAAAGGTGGTGGAAAAATAGAAATAATTAAAAAATAGTGGAAACCTTGAAGTAGTGGGGCCTTGAATCAAGAAGCCAAGCTTTAGGCACACACAGAGTTAGCTGCAACACATCCTGCTGCTTCACTGCCAGGGGAATACACAGAAGGGAAATCTGTGCCGTCCCTGGGCTCTGCAGACAGGAGTGGACACCCAGAGGACCACACTGCCATGTAAAGGTGTTTGAGGGCATTTACCTCGCAAGCTTTGATGTGCTCCATCTGCCACTCTTCCCGGACCTTCTCCAGCATGGTCACATTCTGCTGGTAGCTCCTGTCTGCAAGAGAAATCACAGTGTCAGCTGAAGGTCGACAGGCAGGGTGGGTTGGAATGAGATGATTTTTAAGGCCCCTTCCAACCCAAATCATTCACTGATTCCATGATTAACATTAATGTAAATACCCTTCACTAGAAGGTAATATGTGAAGCCTGAAATGGCTAGGACATCAGGGATAAAGTGGAAGGACATGGCCTTGGTGGGGTCATGCAGGCTTCTCCAGGTTAGGTGCCCATCGCTGGTATCTTGGGCATGTGTTTCTGAGGAGCTGTGCCTGATCCAAGAGCTGGAGCTTGCCCACGAGCCCTGCCATGGCTTCACAACTCCCTGCCCCTGGAAACATGTCCCTTGCCCTCCCAACATGGCATTTCCACTCACCGGAGTCCTCCAGAGCTGATTTCGTCTGAGCCAGCTTCACGAACAGCTGCCAAAAATGGGAGAGAGAAGGAAGGTGGAGGAGCCCCTGGGTGCATCCCCGACGGCGCTGCAGCCCCACTGGTGAGCACCACCAGCCCTCCCGTCTCACCCCAAAACCCAGAGCTGGGAGAAGAGCCATGGGGCGGGAGAGCTGACAAGAAGAGGCATCCCTTTCTCCCCCTGCCCCACCTCCCTGTACCTTCTCCTGCTGCTTCTGCGTCACCAGGTTTGCATTGCGGTGCACGGCCTGTTCCGCCTCGTCCTTGTCCCGGCACCGCTGCTCGTACAGACGCTTGGCCTGGGAGAGACACCAGCACACAGCTCGGGTGGGAGCTCTGGGGGAGAGAACAGCCTACGAGGGCAGAGGTGGGCACAGGCTGCCAGAGGAGCAGGGGGTGGCACACAAGGTCCCAGGTGCCCTGTGGCTTAGGGGAAGCCTCACAAGACAAGCTGCATTTACAGATGGAAAGCTCATGACAACCAAGTCCATGAGAGTACCCAGAGGAGGACGTGGGGAAGGGTCTGGTGATGAGCAGCTGAGGGAGCTGGGGGGGCTCAGCCCGGAGAAAAGGAGCCTCAGACGGGACCTTCTGGCTCTGCAACTCCCTGACAGGAGGGGGGAGCTGGGTGGGGGTCGGGCTCTGCTCCGAGGGAACAAGGGACAGGACAAGAGGCAACAACCTCAAGTTGCATCAGACAAGGTTTAGATTTAATATCCAGAAAAATTTCTTCACAGAAAGTGTTATCAAGCCCTGGCACAGGCTGTCCCGGGCAGTGGTGCAGTCACCATCCATTAAAGTGCTCAAAAAAGGTGTGGACATGGCACCTGGGGACATGGGTTAGTGGTGGGCTTGGCAGTGCTGGTTAATGGTTGGACTCAAGGATCTTAAAGGGCTTTTATAACCTGAACAATTCTATCATTCTAAATCACATTTATCCAGCCCTGAAAGGCTACCACTGGCTGTGCCTCCTCTGTAGTAACCAGTGACAGGACTCCAGGGAATGGTCTGGAGTTGTGTCAGGGAAGGTTTAGGTTGGATATTAGAAACAGGTTCTTCCCCCAGAGGGTGGTTGGGCACTGAACAGGCTCCCCAGGGCAGTGGGCACAGCACCAAGGCTGCCAGAGCTCAAGCAGTGTTTGGATGACACTCTCAGGCACACGGTGTGACTCTTGGGGATGGTCCTGTGCAGGGCTAAGGGCTGGACTCGATGATCCTTGTGGGTCCCTTCCAACTCAGCATATTCTGTGTTTCTGTGATTCTGTGTCCTTGGTGTGCCCTTCAGTGTTCTGAACACACCCTGCACACCACTCACACAGACTCAGCATCCAGTGTCACAGTAGAGGAGGAAAACCCTCTCATTTAAGCCTGCCCCAGCTCTGTGCTTGTGACTGAGCAGTGTTAACCCACAAAGCAAGAAACAGCAGCAGGTTTGCTTTACCTCCATGGTCTTCTTGTACTGCACATTCCTGTTTTTGTGAATCGCCTCCATGATCAGCTCTATCTGTGAAGAAAACAGGCCCAGAATCAGCACATCGCTGACCATCAAAGCTCCACTGGGTGGCTTGGGAAAGAGTCACAGACCAGACTGAGATGGGCTTAAGGACCTTCATCCACCCAAAGCATCTTCACAAAACTCATCTTTCATGCTTCTGTCTAAGCCTTGACTTGTGTATGCAAAGGAGCTCTACGAACTAAATGTATAGCAATGTATAGTACTGTGTCATCTCCACAGGCTCTGACAAAGCTGGGAAGCCCACTCCCCTCTGCTAGTCCAAACCAGCCCCTGGTTCTAGCAGTTTTCTAGAAAAAGGAAAATCCAGAAAAAGGAATCTCAACAAAAAGTTAAAAGGCTTGGCCATTTTATCAGACCCTATGGAGATCATACAGCGCTGTATATAAATGCTTCAAAGTATTCCCAGTTGAGGCTGGTGTCCTGGGGCTGAGCCCCTGCTGTGGCTGGCCCCAAAAACCACCCAAAGGAGAGGATGTGGCAGTGAGAAGAAGGAAGCTGGAGGTTGCTGCACAGTTCACCAACATGGTTGCAACATGTAGGAAGAAACTCAGGACTTCCCAGCAGCAGCAGGCACGGGGGGCACAGAGGGGGCTGGGGAACAGCAGGACACAGCTCTGGGATTAGCCCACTGCTGGGGCAGGATCAACATCCTGTGGGAAGGCACATCTTCCCACAGTGCCTGACCTTTTTCCGATGCAGTTTTTGCTTTTCCCTGAAGTCCTCCATCTTTTTCGCTTCCTCCCGAAGGGTTTGCGCCAGCTGGATGTGACCTTGTCCCACATTGTCTATCTCTGCAAAGAAAAAATAACTTAGATAGATAGATAGATAGATAGATATAGATATATATAGATACATATTCCTAAAGAGACTGTGTTTCTCAATTCAACTGACATCAAACTGGCCCCACGTCACACATCCCCTTTCAGAAACATGAAAAAGCACAGGTTGTTTGAAGCAGGCTCGGAGAAGTGCTCACCTACGTAAGGACCAGTCCTCCTGGGACCTGCCCCCGAGTCTGAGGAAACTCCAGTTGAGAGAAGTTACTCAAACAAGCACAGTCACATCTCCCCCTCACGCGGGTGAATTCGGGCGCGTTTCAACACATCGCACCCCGGCACAGCTGAGTGAAGGATGCACTACCCCAGGCCAGCAGGCAGCAACTTGGGCCATAGAAAAACTAAGGCTAAAAAAATCTCAGGCTCCTCTTGCTGAAGGTGAGCAGCCACACCACGAAATGCCACCCCAGCCAGGTCACCGAGGCAGCGGAGCCAAATGGCAGCTCGTGATTCAACATTCCAAAGCTGTTCCAAACCCACAGCTTGGAATAGTCAGCAGTGGTGAGGGCAGAGCCATGTCAGGGATGTCCAGCTGACAAAGCTGGCAGGCACAGGGTAGCAGAGTGCTCACCTTTAAGGTGCTGTCTGCCTTTAAGGTGCTGTCTGCCCAGTACCCCGGCAAGCTGTGATACAGAGACTGTGTATGGTGGCCAAAGCATCATCTTTTACATGTTCCAATTAGAACCACTGAACCATTTAAGCTGAAAAAGCCCACTTAAGATCATCAAGTCCAAGCATTCCCTCAGCCCTCCCAAGCCCACCACTAACCCATGTCAACAAGTGCCACAACTACATGGCTTTTAAACCCTTCCAGGGATGGGGACTCCACCACTGCCCTGGACAGCCTGTGCTTGGGATAGACAACCCTTACAGTGAAAAATTTCCCTAATATCCAACCTAAACTTCCCCTGGCACAGCTTGAGGCCATTTCCTCTCATCCTGTCACTTGTTCCCTGGCAGCAGAGCCCAACACCCCACCTGGCTCCACCCTCCTGTCAGGGAGTTGCAGAGCCAGAAGGTCCCCCCTGAGCCTCCTTTTCTCCAGGATGAGCCCCCCCAGCTCCCTCAGATGCTCCTGCTGCTCCAGACCCTTCCCCAGCTCCATTCCCTTCCCTGCACACGCTCCAGCCCCTCAATGTCTCTCTTGTCTGAGGGGCCCAGAACTGCCCCCAGGATTCAAAGTGTGAATTACTGTGTGTGTGTATAAAGAGGACAAGCCTATCCAATAAACCCCAAGAGACCTTCCCATGCACAGCTTTGATACACAACACAATCACAACCTCTGAGCTGCAGCCAGACCTGAAAGCCCAAGAGATCCTCAAAAGGATGCCCTGTGGGTCTCATCTCCCACCTGTGCCCTGGAGCACTTTGTCCCAGACCCCATGCACTGGGACGAGCCAGGCCAGGAGTACAGCCTATGCCGGACCCCGTCACCACAACTTTAGAGGTTTCCCTGCCATTTTCTTTCTAAGAAGTTGCCTTCAGGCTTTGGCACAACCAAGTGTCCTGACAAGCATGAAGAATTACTTACGTTGCTTGAAAACATCCAGGGATCTCTTCAGCGTGCTGAAAGACACAGGAGGAACATTAAAAAGAGTGGGAAAGCATGGCCAGGCACAAGTATCAGCAGAGCACCTCTCCCAAAACAGAGACTGCTTGACACCAGTCAAAGCAACTCAAGGCAGGTTTATCTACCCTCTTTATACCTCTGGCTTTTTCTCTCTCAGGTATAGCACAGCTCACTTGCTTTGAGACCTCCTTTACATCTTTCTGAACGTTGGATGCTATCAAAATTCTAAGTTTCACAATGAGTGTATCAGGCAACCTTCCTGAAGCATAATTTTGGGCACACGAACACCTTCTACATGGTGCACTGGCCTGTGGTTGGAAACTTAGAGAACTTTTCTCCCTGTTAATTTCAGAAACATTTTATGTGACACAAAACTGTAAAAACAATGATCAGAGAATGTCAGACTGGGTATGTATAAAGTATAGAAACAAAGCAGGGAGCAGAAGGTGCCGAGGGTCACTGGGGAAATGGAGACCCACTCATGGAGCCACAGTGGTCACAACACTGTGAAGATATTTGCGTGGTTTGACTCAACCTGTACTTCCCCCTGGCTACAAAACCAGTCAAGAGTGAACTCTTGGGTCTCATGATCCTCGGCTTTCTGCCGAACCACCAGTCCACACCTCACCTGAGCATCTACAGTGCTTTGGTTAGTCTATGGCTGGTGGGAACTTGGTGGAGTCTGGCTCAAAGCAAAGCAGAACCCAGCTGGGGCACTGTTCATTCATGAGAATGGTTTCAGCTCATCTTCTGGACGTCCCAATCACATTTCAAAACACTGTTTTGTCTCTCACAGTCTCCTTCCTTCTCTTCCTCCTTCTTTGATCCATGGACACTCATAAAAGCAGAACACACACAGCATTGTGAACTTACTTCAGCTCCGTCTGCCCACAGGGCTTCTTCTTCGACAAGTTGATGAGCTCTTTGCCATATTTTTCTTCTATAATTGCCCTGTTGAGAAAAGAGAGGAATGAGAGAAAGTTCCTAATTCAGAAACTAAGACTTGTTAGCAGTGGAGTTCAAGACCTGCTCTGAACTCCTGACCTGTGCCAACCAGGTTTTCCAGTGGAAACACTTGGCTTTGCTGTGTCTGTGGTCCCGATATGCTGCTCTGCCCATCTCCCCTGGGCTGATGGGTTCAAGGATCACCTCCACAGGTGATGGAGGACTAAGCTGCCTGTGCCTGGCTCAAAGATGCAGCCAGGTGACTCACCTAGGTAGGTTTTTTCCCCTCAGTTTCCTATGGAACAGGGCTTTTGAGATCCCTCGGTCTGTCCACACTAAGTACTTTTGACTCTGACCTAAGTACTTTTGACTCTGACCTAGCTGATTTATACCAAATGTGACAGGAAGGGAGCAGGCACCTCAAAGACAGCTTGGCCACCAGGCATGCACCCCAAAGCTCAGCTCAGGCATTTCAGCTCTTCAGGGCTTTTTTGAATGAAGCAATAAGTACTCTCTGGACCTGCCTCTGATCCTTACGGAGAACGCCTGAAGAAGAGGCCAAATCTTGTGAGGTAACAGAAATAACACCTCTGAGAGATCCTTTTGTCCTCCTCTCTTGAAAGAATGAGAGGGGGGGAAGAGAGTCTACGTGTTGCAGTACAAGAACAACCAGCTTTCTGCAGCTGCTTTGAAGTCAGCACAGACAACCAGGGCTGGACTTGCTTGGTCAAATGTAGTATCTCAACCTAGGCAACCCTAACTGTCTGCAGTCAGTGTAAAGAAACAACTCCTGCTAAAGACTGCATTAGAAGGTCTACTGGATAAAATAAATAGCTTCCTAAAAAGCCTGTATCTCCTAACACAGATGCAAACACCTGTGTTGTCGACTTCTCGAGTCTGGCAGTGAAGGTTCACCCAGCTTAACTCTTTAGAAATTCCCAAAGCTTGTAGGGAAACGGGGAAAAGATAAATATCATAAATTGATTTTTTTTTCCCCTCTGTCTAACAGCATTCACATGAACTTCATTTGGGACAAAGCATCCAACAGGCACGTCCTCCATGGCTGGAACTGTGTTAACAGCCCTGCTGTACACGGAGAACTGAGCCATGTTCAGAGAGAGGTGCCAGTAGCAAGTCCAGGTCCAGCCTCTAATCTCTTTCTGGAAAGACACATTGGTGGCAACCTACACCTACTTCAAGAACAAAGAGGACACAGGGTGTGGAGGAGGCTTTTGGCACTCTCTTGTTGTCACAAATGAGGGGGACACAATTCTCAGGGTCCAGTTCCTCAGCTGGAAAGCCCAAATTTTCCTGGAACACGAAATTCCAGCCTAAAGAGATGTAGGTGCACTAGACACTTTTAAGTGCAGGTTCCCCTCCTCTTCACCCCCATTATGTTTGCCCCAGGCTGCTCTGCACCAAGTCATCCAGTCACAGGTTGTTTTTTTCCAGCTCTCATTACCAAAATAACATTAATTCAGGGTTGTTCTACAATGCTCTTCATATTTAGCCATTGCTAACCAGGTGAACCATAAATCCAGACCCTCTCAGTTGTTTCTGTAGCCACAGAACCTCTGCTTAGGTCGTATTCTCTGACTGATAAAGGCAAAACCTAATGCTACTTCTTTTTAGCATTAAATCTATGAGCTGTTCTTAATGTACAAAGACAAATTCAGGACAAGGCCCTGCCTCTCCTAGGCCAAAGTTCTCACCTGATCTTCAGCAAGGTGAACAGCAAGGTAAGCTTCATGGCAGAGCATTTTAACAGAGTGGACAGTTAAACACAACAGAAATCAAACTGGGAGCACCAGGAGTAGGAGTAGTGCCTCACTTCCCAGGCTCAACCCAACCCGTGATCAGAGGCAGCTCCCTACCTTTCCTTCAGGAAGTCTTCAAACTCCTTGCAGTTCTTCCTGCCATCGTTCAGGTGTTGGATGATGCTGTCGTAGCCAACGGTGCTTGTCAGATCCGTGCTCTGAAAACACAGGAGTCACATCCTCATCAGTGCAGACCATGGACACTGCCACCTCCAGAGGCATTTGCACAGGCAACAGCTCAGGGAGAGCATGTGTGCAAGTGCCTCTTTATGAAATAAGATCTTTCTTTTTAAGGGGTGGGAGAGACTCCTGGATGAGAACAATGTATGGGACAAGATTTTCAGAAAAAAGAAGATCTCAATCCAGCAACAACATATGTTCTCAAGTGCCACATCCACACGTCTTTTAAATCCCTCCATGGGAGGTTTCCAAAAGAGCTGTTTCCAGGCAGGAGGAGCTCCTGATTGAAGGAGCTGGGCAGGGTTGTATTCTGTGAAACCAGCTTTAACAGCACCTTCTGGACAAGTTTGGTACGGAGAGAATCAAAAGGACCAGCATGACTGGGGGTGTTCACCGGGAGAAGAGAAGGCTCCAGGGAGACCTTAGACCCCCTTCCAGTGCCTAAAAGGGCTCCAAGAGAGCTGGAGAGGGACTTTGGAAAAGGGATTAGAGGGACAGGACAAGGGGGACAAGGCTTCCCACTGCCAAAGGGCAGGGTTAGATGGGTTATTGGGAAGGAATTGTTGGCTGTGAGGGCAGTGAGGCCCTGGCACAGGTTGCCCAGAGAAGCTGTGGCTGCCCCATCCCTGGAAGTGTCCAAGGCCAGGTTGGACGGGACTTGGATCAACCTGGTCTAGTGAAAGGTGACCCTGCCCATGGTAGAGAGGTGGAACTGGATGAGCTTTAAGGACCCTTCCAACCCAAACCATCCTGGGATTCTGTGACTGCCTGTGGGATGTCCCAAAGGCAGGGCTGGCTGCTGCAATGGAAGAGGAAGTGCAACACAGAGAGCACAGAGCCATGGGCACAGAAGATTTAAAAGCATAACAGACTAAGCCCAAGACAGGTATAGAGGTTGGGGGTTGCACCCAGCCCTGCCAAAACAAAGTGGGGCAGAGGGACAAGGATCTCTACTGCTGCCCTCCCACGGCTGTCCTGGTCCTTCCTGCTGGGCAGAGCTCTGAGCCCATGTGCTATTTACAGGACAGCAGCCCATGGAAACTACAAACAGATGATTTCAAGGTGACAAAGCAGCAGCTGATGTTTCCCAAGCCCACAGGATGTGCTCCCCCCTTCCTGATCTGCTGCCTGGATTTGCACCACCCTCCCAACAGAGTTGATGAGGAGCGGGATTTTGAGTGCTCCTTGTAATGTTTTGGGGTTTGTTTGCACTTGCAGGCAAAAGAGGGGCTGAAATGCTCTAGTGGGGATGTGAAAATATGAAATGGCTGAGTCACAGCTGAAAGACAAGTTGCTGAGCTTGACGATTCCATCTCCTGCCCCACTCTACGTGGAAAACCCCTGCAGACACACACCCTACGAAATATTGACATTGGAGAAACACAGAATTATAGAATTGTGTAAGTTGCAAAAGCCCTCTAAGACCATCGAGTCCAACCATTTTCCCAGTACTGCCAAGGCCACCACTAACCCATGTCCCCAAGTGCCACATCCACAGGGCTTTTAAATCCCTCCAGGGATGTGGACTCCACCATTGCCCTGGGCAGCTGTGCCAGGGATGGACAACCCTTACAGTGAAGAAATTTCCCCTAATATCCAACCTAAACAATGTCCTCTGGCACAGCCTGAGGCCGTTTCTTCTCATCCTGTCCCTTGTTCCCTGGGAGCAGAGCCCGATCCCCCTCTGACTCCCTCCCTCCTGTCAGGGAGTTGCAGAGCCAGAAGGTCCCCCCTGAGCCTCCTTTTCTCCAGGATGAGCCCCCCCAGCTCCCTCAGACGCTCCTGCTGCTCCAGACCCTTCCCCAGCTCCGTTCCCTTCCCTGCACACGCTCCAGCCTCACAGTGTCTCTCTTGTCTGAGGGCCCAGAACTGCCCCAGCACTGGAGGTGCCTCAGCAGTACCAGCACAGGGAGGGCACTGCCCTGGCCCTGCTGCCACACCACAGCTGGGTTAGGTCCAGCTGCTGCCACCAACACCCACAGGGCCTTTCCCAGTTTTCCAGCCCCTCTGCCCCAGCCTGGAGCTGCAGGGATCTGTTGGGACACAATGGCAGGACCTGGCACTTGGTCTTGTAGAAACTCACACCGTTGGCCTCAGCCCACTGATCCAGATCCCTCTGCAGAGACTTCCTGCCCTCCATCACTCTGTCCCAACCTTCCCAAATGGAAGGGTTTGGGGCACTACACTGTTCACGGACCATCTCTAGGAAGATCTGTATTTATGCCGAGCTCTCAGTCTGTGTCCCTTGCCTTACGTGCTTAGACAAACACACCAGAGGCTGGATGACTATTTTAGCAGATGGAAACACGGTGCAACCATAGCTGGCTGTGCTGTCCTTGCTCAGAGTCCGCGTAGCCACAAAATCGCTCAGGGTCCTGCAGAGGTTGCTGAGACAAAAAGAAATGCTTGTGCTGGTGTCTGCAGGGAGCAGGGTGAGGAGGTGCTGCACAAAGCTGCAGGTCCTCCCCACCCCAAAACCAGGTAGGTGCAACAGGAGAGACAAAAACTCATCGCGAGGAGGAAAAGGACTCGCTGCAAATTCACCCACCTGAGACCATCACCTTGCAAAAAGCAGGATTACTTTTTGATTAATAATTTTCCCTTTGAAGTTTCCTTCCCCTACACCAATGCACCTCTCCTGCTCGTCCCAAAGACTCCAAAAGCATTGGACTATCCCGCCTTCATGAAATTGTCTCTCCCCACAAACCCCACCTTGTTCCTTTGAAAGGACGACCTGAGGGTTTCATAACGCTGCTGATTAGTTCCACCAAGCCAGTCCCCGTTTAGAGAAGGACAACAAGGGGAAAGGGGAAGTGAAACAGCCCAGCCAGCATCACACCATGAGTCAGCAGCCAGGGAATAAATCCAGGAGCCTGGGGTTGCAGTCCCCGCAGCCATGGGTTGCTTTAGCAGCATCACTAAATACACTGTAGAGAGCAGAGCATTGTCTCAGTAAAAGCAAAATGACCAAAATTTCAGTCTCCAAGCTGCAAGCTGTCAGCCCACAGATCAGAACTGAGGTGGTTTTTAGCGTTATTGTCATTTCTTGGTTTTGCTACACAGTTTTACAGGACAAAATTGCTCTGATGAGACCCAAAGCTTTGCTCTTGGGTTAACTGAAATACGTGGAAGAGCGGGCTTGTGGAGAACTAGACGTGTACTAAGAAAGTGGAAAAAACTGCGAGAAAAGACCTCCTATAGTGAAAGAAGAAGAGCAGGTTGCAAAAACAAGTGAAAACAAAACCTCGTGCTTGCTCAACGTGTGGCAATCGCTACAGGCCAGGCAAGGGCAAACGAACACGAGCTTTTGGGTATTTTTGTTTTTGCACAGCTCTCTCACAGACATGCAGGAAGCACAGGTTGTGGGAGGGAGCAACACGGGAGTGGGGACATTCAGGGCAATGCATGTTCAGCTTCAGGCATGTCTGGACTTCGGTCCCTGGGTGAGCAGGAGCTGCAGCAGGGTGCAGAGAGCAAAACTTGTTATTTAAGGAAGTTTACCATCCTGTGCTGACACCCAAGAGAATGAGCAAACTCGAGTGCAGAGAGCAAAGTGGCCCCATGCCTTCCGAAATCATGGGCATCATGCCGTCAGCTCCAGCAGGGACCAGGCTCCAGTGCAGGAACACACACAGCATCCATCAAAGAAAACAGAACTGGTGTGGTTTAAAGCTCAGTCAGTCCCCAGGTGAGGCTGGAAGCGCAGCCCTGCTACCCTGACAGAGAAAAGGGTGGGCTGCAGCTTATCATAGAGTCATAGAATCCCAGAATGGTTTGGGTTTCAATGGACCTTAAAACCACCCATCTAGTTCCAACTCCCTCCCATGGGCAGGGACACCTTCCACTATCCCAGGTTGCTCCAAGCCTCGTCCAACCTGGCCTTGAACACTTTCAGGGATGGGGCAGCCACAGCTTCTCTGGGCAGCCTGTGCCAGGGCCTCCCCACCCTCACAGTAAAGAACTAACAAAAGTTCACTGTCCCAACAAAGAAATTCGGTGGTCACCACTCACAACCAGTCACATTCCAAAGCTGGAAGATCCAATACCAAAACTGACCTAGCTTTTGAGGGTTTGGTTATTTTTAGGCTTTGTCCCATCACTTGAGGCATCCCTCCTCTGGAGCTCTGCCAAAGTCTTGCTTTCTCATTGAGCTGTCCTAACCACTACAGAATTGCCCCTCACCAGAGCAAAGTGCATTTGTAGCAGTATTTAGGGTTTCTGCAGGTAGAGTGTGATGGTGAGTTTAATTTGGGGGGAAAAAAAAAAGACATTTTGTTGGACCACCAGATAAGAAGCTGAGCCAGCACCACCATTAAGGAACAGGGTATGTGTGGCAGCATCTGCCACCTGCTCAGGATCCTGCAGAGATGGTCCTCTTGATCTCATCTTGTTTGACAGGTCAAGAACCTACTCAAGATGAATGTTGTGCCTCACCATGCTCTTTGTAGCACTAGGACAAGGGATGATGATTTTAAACTCAAAGAGGGGAGATTCAGATTTGATAGAAGGAAGAAATTGTTGAAATTCTTTATGAGGAGGGTGGGGAGGCCCTGGCACAGGCTGCCCAGAGAAGCTGTGGCTGTCCCATCCCTGAAAGTGTTCAAGGTCAGGTTGGATGGGGCTTGGAGCAACCTGGGACAGTGGAAGGTGGAAGGGGATTGGACTAGATGGCCTTTAAAGGTCCCTTCCAAATGAAACCATTCTATGATTCTAAGAAATCACTTGTTGCAGCAGAGACTTCTGCTTCCATTTTTGCCTCAAGCGAGGTAATATAAGAGGAATATTGCAAGAGGAAGTGTGTGTGGACTCACAGCACCCAGCAGCAAACGGAAGCTGGACATGCAGACCTCCACACCTCATCTAAATGTGGTTTCTTATTTCCCATCTCTTGCTCCCCCCTCCCTCCCCAGCCCTCACAGCTGATGCACAGTCACCAGTACGTGGTGTGGCGATTGCTTGGGGTGGTACCTGCGTTTTCCATGGGCCAAACCACCACAGCAGGGCCTCGATCTCTCCACTGAGTCACATTCACCACCGTCCTGTCCAACATCAACCCCAGCTCCTGCTCCAGGCACGTTTCCTTAGCCAGGGGGTGGGGGTGGGGGGAGTGGTTGAAGCACACAGGCTTCAGAAGGGAAGAAACCAAGCAAAATCCCTGGCAGCACCAAGGGTTTTGGGCTCAGCAAGAGTTGGGGATTATTCAGTAAATAGCCATATTTGCAACAGAAGGGGTGAGGCAGGACTGAGTACCCCATGGCATGCCCCATCTCCTCCTTAACTTGGGGGCTTGGCGCTGCTACGGCCCTGGTATTTTCTCCCACTGAACCCCCTCCTCCAGGATCCTCTTTCAAAAAGCTCCACAACACAGCTGGAGAGGGACAAACCAGGCAGAAATGGCCGAAGTCAGCCCTGCGGCGAGGAGATCTTCTTCAGCCCAATGTGCCACTGAGGCACCACAAACCATGCCTGTTCAGTGTTCCTGGCATCACAGTTATTCCCCTCAGCCTGGAGGATGCTGCCGCCACCCTTGCATCCCTTCCCTCCGCATGTTTGCAAAGCAAAGAGAGCACACCTTGGAAAACTTCTTGGCAACAAACAGCTGAGAAGCAGCTGCCAGTTGCAAAGTCGGCTTTATTCTCCATGCCAGGTTTGATACCTGTGTGGGATTTGCATATTTGACAGCTCTATGCCAATTAACACACTAATGACACTGGTGCTCTGCACTTATTGCACAAAACACAGGAGCTCCAAACGTGGTGTCTGCTCCTCCTGGGGCCTGTGCTCCTCTCCCCCATCCTGCAAGATGCTGGAGCTGCTTCCAGACAACATCTGAGAAACCCCGAGCACCATTCACAGATGGGGATTTTCAGCCCCAAAAGACACAATTTTGTAATTTACTTCCTGGTTGCCGATACCTGGAACAAAGGTCTACCACAACAAGAGGAACTGAGCGGCCACAGAGCTGACGCTTCACAGCAGATATGTGGCTTTTCTGCACTTCTCCTTTCAGAAAAAGCACAGTTCACACTCAGAAGAATAGATTGTGGTTTTCCCCAAAGTGCGGCTTTTCCTCTGCGGCTCTGACAGCAGCACACCGAGCACCAGCACATCCAGTCTGGGATTAGCTCCACATCAAAGGACCATTTTTGGCTATAGTGTCTCCAAGTAGTTCACTGATGGCCAGTTAATGTTATCAGACCCTCAGACTGGCACTGATTTCCTCCAGCATGGCAGCGGCTGCTCGCTGGGATTATTTTGGCTGCCCGGAGCAGGTTGCAAAGCCACAACTCCCAGGACATGTGTGGGTGGGCAGTGCCTGCTGGGGATCACAGAATCACGGAATGGTTTGGGTTGGAAGGGACCTTAAAGACCATCTCATTCCAACAACCCCTGTCATGGGCAGGGACACCTTCCACTAACCCAAGTTGCTCCAAGCCCCGTCCAACCTGGTCTTGAACACTTCCAGGGATGGGGCAGCCACAGCTTCTCTGGGTAATCTGTGCCACTGTTTTATCACTTCAGGATGCCCAGAGCTTTCAGCAAAGTCACCCCACGACCACGATCGCGTTGGAGCCCACTCTAACCAAAGAGCGGTGACCCCCCACCTCCAGCTGTGACCCCCGGCTGTGCCCCCCGGCTCCGGCTGGCCCTGACCCCGGTGTCCCGGTCCCGCTCACCCAGAAGTGGTCCCTGAACCGCGCCTCCCGCATCCTGCCGCTGCCACCGCCGCGCTCCGCCGCTCCCGGCGCCGCCCGGCCCGGCCCGGCCCGCCCCGGCGAGTCCCCACCCACGCACGGGAACACCCTCCGTGGGTCGGGCGGCGGGACGTGCTCGGTTATATCGGCGGCGAAGGGAGGCTCGGCGTCAGCGCTCCATGGGAGAAGCCCACCCGTGATGGCCGGACCAGGGACCCGCGCGGCTTCCCCGTAAACACGGGGCGCAGCAGGAGCACCGCACGACCCGCAGTGCCCTGCCCGCCTGGCTTAGGGTTGGCGGAGTGTTCTGGGATGGTTTCATGGAACCACAGAATTATTTAGGTTGGGAAAGCTTTCCAAAGACCATCGAGTCCAACCATTCCCCCAGCACTGACAAGCCCACCACTAACCCTTGTCCCCAGGTGGCACATCCACACAGCTTTTAAATTCCTCCAGGGATGGGAACTCCACCACTGCCTTACGCAGCCTCTGCCGGGGATAGACAACCCTCTTGGTCAAGAAATTTTCTCTAATATCCAACTTAAACAATGTCCTCTAGCACAGCCGTTTCCTCTCATCCTGTCCCTTGTTCCTTGGCAGCAGAGCCCGACCCCTCTGGCTCCCCCCTCCTGTCAGGGAGTTGCAGAGCCAGAAGGTCCCCCCTGAGCCTCCTTTTCTCCAGGATGAGCCCCCCCAGCTCCCTCAGCTGCTCCTCATAAAACAAAAAAAAAACCCTCCTCCACCACACCCATCCCGTGTTACCCACAGTTTATAAGGGGGCCTCTGCCTGAGACAAAGCACTGCGTGAGCAACCTCTGAACAGTGCTTTGAAAATAGGAGGTAGAACACAGTGTGCTGGAATGCCTGAATCACATCCACTGCCCTGACCTGCTGCCTCTGCGTGAGCACAGGGAGAGCTAAAACAGTCCACTAATGCAAAAAGAGGCATTTTCCACTTACTGAAATAAAATGCTCAGTTGTAACCTGAGGCTGATTTAGGCAAACTGGGCCTGTGCACGCTCCTGACAGAACAGAGCACAAGCCCTCACCAGGAATCCACATCACCAAGCAACTAAAGGGGCTCCAGGAGAGCTGGAGAAGGACTTGGAACAAGGGATGGAGGGATAGGACAAGGGGGAACAGCAGGGTTAGAGGGACAAGAGGGCAGGGTTAGATGCGATATCGGAAAGGAATTCTTTGTGAGGATCGTGAGGCTCTGGCACAGGTTGCCCAGAGAAGCTGTGGCTGCCCCATCCCTGGAAGTGTCCAAGGACTGGCTGGACAGAGCTTGGAGCAACCTGGGCTACTGGAAGGTGTCCCTGCCCATGGCAAGGGTTTGGATGTCAATGATCCTTAAGGTCCCTTTCCAACCAAATCACCCTGTGAGCCTGTGATCCACTGGCCATTTCCCAGCTTCCCAGCCCCACCCCGTGGCCAGGGCAGCCCATAGCACCACTCAGGACCTGGGACCCATCCTCCAAAACCCGCCCTGCCCTTCACTCTGACCCGACTGGTACATTTACCACACGGTGCTTTCATGAGGAAGTTCTCACCTTCCTACATCTCAGCAGCAACAGGGCAGAAACCAGAACCTTGGAATATTTCTCTCCTATCTTACTAGAAACAAATACATCTCTGTGCAGTTTTGGACTAGGGCACCCCTGAGCTCGGTGCTTTCCAGCTGCAGCAGCACGTCAGTAGAAGATGGCACAGCAACACCAAGAGGTAACCAGCGTTCAGTCAACGTGCGGGAACAGTCACAGGCTGTAAACATTATCCTGGAAGTGACAAATGATGTTGGCCAGGTCAGAGTAAAAAGGTTCCACAACATTCCCTCGTGCCTGTGAAGCCCCTGAGCCACCTGTTCTGGAGCTGTGCACGGAATAAACAAAACAGAAATCCCTCCTCCTGGAGCACAGCACTAACTCTTCCCAGAAAGGTGTCTGACACTCCTGGACTAAAAATTTTTCCCCGGTACAGCAGAGCCTGTTTGTTAGCCTGGAACTGTGTGAGAATGTTTCCCGCTGCTTGTTTGCACTGGGAGGCAGGATGCTCCCCTGCAGGAAAGTTAACTGGGGACAGTGGGTGTGCAGGCTCCACGAGGATTAAGGGCCAAGCTCCACTGTACCAGACTGAATACACTGCACGAAATGGAGAGGCTTTGAACTCTCCCCCATCCCAGATCGGTGCAACACTGGGATCCTGTGCCTCACACAGCAGTCAGGAAATGGAAGAGCTCCAGCTCTGGGGTACCAGCACAGGAAGAACATGGACCTGTTGGAGCAAGACCAGAGGAGGCACGAAGTTCATTACTAGGATGGAAAACCTCTCATACAAGGAAAGGCTGAAAGAATTGGGATTGTTGAGCCTGAAAAGAGAAGGCTTCGGGGTGACCTAACTGCAGCATTCCAGTACCTGAAGGGAACTTACAGAAAAGATGGAGAGAGACTATTTACAAAGGCCTGGAGTGACAGGACAAGGGGGAATGGCTTCCCACTGCCAGAGGGCAGGATTAGATGGGATATTGGGAAGAAATTCTTTATTGTGAGGGAGGTGAGGCTCTGGCACAGGTTGCCCAGAGAAGCTGTGGCTGCCCCATCCCTGAAGTGTTCAAGGCCAGGCTGGACAGGGCTTGGAGCAACCTGGGATAGTGGAAGGTGTCCCTGCCTATGGCAGGAGGGTGAAATGAGATGGTCTTGAAGGTCCCTTCCAACCCAAACTATTGTAGGATTCTAGTACTTTAATCTCTAACTGTTACTACTGTAACAGCTACACCTGCAGTTGTCCTGAGACTCAAGGACCAGTCTTCCAAAGGCCTGGCACCAGGATGGATCACCAGGCAGAAATTCCAAGAAATACTCTTCCAGAGTTTCAGGCAGTTAAGAGATTCCTGCGAGGTCCAGTGAATTACCCTCGTGACAAGACAGCACAGGGTGCCTGCCCAGCTGCACTGCCCTTCTCCAGGATAAGCTGCCTGGCACCAAGGATGAACACCCTGAGAACATCTCTCAGCTCTGTCACCCTCCTGCTCCCGTGTCAGGGGAGTTTGCTCACCCAACAGTTAAGATGCCCCCTGATGTCCAGGGGAGTTCAGCTCTGTGTTCTACAGATGCAAGCAGCCAGCCAGAAGGCACTCGTTCAGAACAGGGAACCTTTATTCTCACTGAGATCTGTACATTCAAGTCACATATACTTTAGTCTCTGATGGAGCTGGAGCACTGGATCACAACCGCCTGGTCTCTGAACAGTTTTAAGAGTTTATGCCTCAAAAGTAGCCAGGAAATTTGTGACTATCTCCTTCAACTTCGCTTCTGTCTGGTCAGAGATCTTCCCTTCGGTCCTGTTGGAAGAGTTCAGTTAAACTCCTGACACAGCAACAGATACACAGTCAACCCGAGACAAAGACAGAAGCTTCACAACGAACCTCCCCATTTCTAACAAAATTAGTAGATGATTTAATACATTTCTGTTTGATGTATGACGCCGTACCACTGACAAAACATCCCTTCTCCTGAAAGTGTTAGTCTTGTTCAAGAACTGAAGTCTGTCCACAAATACTTTCAGAACAGACGTATGTATTCCAACAATGCTCCACCTTCTACAGAGCTGTGCCTTAGAGACAGAAGGCACATGATATGGCTCATGACAAACCAAGCCAGGACCAGTTCCCAGGACGGAACTATGGAAATACTCAGTCCCCAGCAATCCACTCAGCAGCACTTAACTCACAGCTTAAAGCTGTCAGAAATATGGGCAGTGACTCAATTAAGTGACTTCAGGAACAGATCAGACATATGCAAGTACATTCACTTAAGCATAAGCTGCATTTCCTAAGAGCTGAAGACACGAATCTGAGGAAGGTCGATGGTAGGAAGGCTGATTTAACCTCCAGTTCTGGCACAGGCAGTTGAAGGCCTGATGTTCTAGGATACACTAAATTAACAGTTCAGTGATCATTATTCTGTACTCCAGCCATTAAGTCAATACCCTGGGGACGAAGCATGGTAGACCCCCATACCTGATTGTGGAGAGGAGGGCCTGGTGCTGGCTCAGTACATGGGCGAGGAAAGCGCTCTCAAATTTAGTGATCTTGCTGGGCTCCAGCTTGTCCAAGTGACCTCTTACACCAGCATAGATGACTGCAACCTGTTCTTCGATAGCCATGGGAACTGCAAGGAAGAGAGCACTCATTCCATCAGAACTCTGACAACAGGACACATCACAACTACACAGAGCCCTTGGAAGACCAGCTGCGCATGGACAGCCTGGTTCAAGCCAGCCTGCATTTACCCTGTGTGCAGAATGAGCACAGTCACTGCAGCACACAGCACTAACAGGAACACAGACACTCACCGTACTGGCCCTGCTTCAGCAGCTCCGTCAGGCGCACCCCGCGGTTCAGCAGCTGCTGCGTGGCGGCGTCCAGGTCAGAGCCAAACTGGGCGAAGGCGGCGACCTCTCGGTACTGAGCCAGCTCCAGCTTCATGGTACCGGCCACCTGCAGCACAGGGCACAGGTCAGACCCCGTGGGGCCACCTCTAGGGGTGTTGCAGAGACTGCAGGTTATCTGCAGCTGACAGCTGTCACCAGTCAGCTCTGCCCTGCGTACCAGACAGGTGACTACAAACACTGGCAGATCATACACATTTCTAAAAATCCCACCTTGTAACATAAGCATGCTATTTCTCCCTAATATGGGAAGAGTTCATATTAAACCCCTCTAATTCCATGCCTGTACAAACGCTCGGGGTTAAGTGAGCATTCTCTATTTCTAGTTGGTAGTACCCACTTCAGCATACCAAAACTTAATCCTACATCTTTATATAGATACAATTTTCCTTTCTCCCCCACCTCTCTCAGTAGGCAAGAGAAATAGCAAAGAGTTCTCCAAAGCTGGTCCTTTTATAATTTCATAACGCTAAGGAATCCAAAGCTTTATTCCCTCCCTGTTCACAGATCTTCGGAGTCAAATGGGTTGTAATGCCCACATATTACCTCCAGCACGAGGAGGAGCAGCAGTTTCACACTTACCTGCTTCATA